CCTTTAATCCTAGCATTCCAGACATAGAAATCCCTCTGGATCTCTGTGAGTTCAAGGCCACATTGGAAATAGCCAGTCATGGTGACACATGCCTTTAATGCCAAAAAGCCAACCTTTAATCCCAGAGAGTGGTTGTAGAAAGCAGAGAGGTATATAAGGCATGAGGACCAGAAACTAGAAGCATTTGGCTGGTTAGGCATTTGGCTGGTTAGGCATTTGGCTGGTTAAGCATTCAGGCTTTTGAGCAGTGATTCAGCTGAGACCCAATCCGGATGAGGACTCAGAGGCCTCCAGTCTGAGGAGACAAGACCAGCTGAGGATCCGGCGAGGTGAGATAGCTGTGGCATGTTCTGTCTCTCTGATCAATTAGCATTGACCACTATAACTTGCATAGGGTTTGATTTTATTAATAAGAATTTTTAAGATTCCTGCTACATCCTCCTTACTAGCTACCCTCCCTGGATCTGTGATTACAGTCTGGTTATCCTCTGCATTATATCTAGTATCCTTGTAGGAGTAAGGACAAACCATGTTTGTCTTTCTGAGTCTGGGTTACCTCACTCAGGATGATATTCTCTAGCTCCATCCATTTGCCTGCAAACCTTATGATGTCATTGTTTTTCTCTGCTGAAGTGTACTCCATTGTGTATCTGTACCACATCTTATTTATCCATTCTTCAGTTGAGGGGCATCTGGATTATTTCCAAGTTCTGGCTATTACAAATAATACTGCTATGAATATAGTTGAGCATGTGTCCCTGTGGTATGATTGAGCATTCCTTGGGTATATGCCCAAGAGTGGTATAGCTGGGTCTTGAGGAAGATTGATTCCCAACTTTCTGAGAAAATGCCATACTGATTTCCAAAGTGGCTGTACAAGTTTGCATGCCCACCAACAGTGGAAGAGTGTTCCCCTTGCTCCACATCCTCTCCAACATAAGGTGTCTTCAGTGTTTTTTTTTTAATCTTAGCCATTCTGACAGGTGTAAGATGGTATCTCAGAGTCATTTTGATTTGCATTTCCCTGATGACTAAGGATGTTGAGCAATTCCTTAAATGTCTTTCAGCCATTTGAGATTCTTCTATTGAGAATTCTCTGTTTAGCTATATAACCCATTTTTTAATTGGAATATAATGTATTTTGATGTCTAGTTTCTTGAGTTCATTAAATATTCTGGAGATAGCCCTCTGACAGATGTAAGGTTGGTGAAGATATTTTCCCATTCTGTAGGCTGTCATTTTGTCTTACTGGCTGCATCCTTTACCCTACAAAAGCCTCTCAGTTTCAAAAGGTCCTATTTATTAATTAGGTACTACTGGTGTTATATTTAGAAAGTGATCTCTGCTGCCAATGTATTCAAGACTACTTCCTACTTTCTCTTCTATCAGGTTCAGAGTAGCTGGATTAATGTTGACATCTTTGATCCACTTAGACTTAAGTTTGTGCATGGTGACATATATGGATCTATTTCAATTATCTACATGTTGACATCCAGTTATGAAAGCACCATTTGTTGTAGATGCTCATGGATAGGTAGGATTAACATAGTAAAAATGGCAATCTTACCTAAAGCAATCTACAGAATCAATGCAATCCCCATAAAAATCCCAACACAATTCTTCACATATCTGGAAAGAACAATATTCAACTTCATGTGAAAAAAACAAAAAACCCAGGATAGCTAAAACAATCCTTTACAATAAGGCAACCTCTGGAAAAATCACTACCCTGACTTCAAGCTCTACTATAGAGCTACAGGAATAAAAAAACAGCTTGGTACTGGCATAAAAACTGACATGTGGACCAATGGAATCAAATTGAAGACGCTGACATTAATCCACACACATATTAAGATCTAATTTTTGACAAAGAAGCCAAAATTATTCTCTATTTCTGATGGCCAACATGAATAACAGTCCTTGTGAGAGGACTAAGAAGAGCTTGTCCTGTTTGGGTGGGGACAGGGGAGAAGAGTCTCTGTCACAAAACAGGTGGATGGCATGTGTGATAATGACACCTGAAATTGTCCTCCAGTCCCTGGTGCACACACACATGAACACAAACACGCACATATCAGTGTATGCATCCATACATGCACTCAAATGTCCCAGTAACACATAGTAGAGTAGAACCCATCCCCTTTAACAGATAGAATTGAGAAACTGAGATGTCTAATAGTACAAGACTGATACTAGATTCCTGTCACTCACTCTAGGAAAAACCCAAGATAGAATGGAATACGCTCCATTCTGGCCCCAATTAATGCCTCTTCTCATATGTGACTCTGAGTTTTGAATTTTTACATTTGTGTGTTTATCTTGGAATGCCTGTAGAGGCCAGGGAGATTAACAGGGACTGATGATGTGGGAAGGGCTTAAAAGAGAGGAGACAGTAGAACACATGCCAATAAAAATAGAGAGGTAGACTATTGTGGTGGAAATGTTTGCAGGGAGCTAGTAGTAGGGGAATGGAGAATAACACAGAGTGGAGGGGAGAGTTAATCAAAACTAATGATGTGTTAAAAGTTAACTGGAGACTGATTATTGTCTACACTATTTGACAAGTATAATAAGAACAGTCTGAATGGAAGTACCCTGCATGAGTAGTGCAGCTCCAAGAAGCTATAGGCAATTAAACAAAATCCTAGTTTGGGCATGTGATAAAAACCCTATGAGAAGCCCACAGGTCTCCAAAACAACACACACTATTAGCTTTCAATTACCCACCAGACCCACCTATTAAGACCCTACTGCTGAAAAAATCGTATGATTTGGTCATAGGATATAGAGAAAGGAAGCCAGTAATGTAACCAGAGTTATGTTGTCCATAACTGCCTACCATGCTTATGAAATCAACACTAATTAAACTCAGTGGGAAGGACACACACAAACAAACACAGAAAGACACAGACAAATACATAGAGACATACACACACACACACACACACACACACACACACACACACACACACACACTGAACACTGGAGGGAATCTTTGGAGGAAGAAAAAAGGTTCAGTGAAAGAAAGATCCAAGAGAGTGATTAGGAAATGGTATTATTAAAACATATTATTTGCATATATGAAATCAATAAAGGTATCATGAAAGAAGCCTTTAATCCTTGCATGTAAGAGACAGAGTTAGGAAAATCTTTGTGATATTCAGCCCATCCTGGTCTACACAGTGAATTCCAGGCCAGTCAGTGCTTCATTGTGAAACTGTTTTGAAAAAAAAATGAAGCATAAAGATTAAAAATAAAAATAATGAAAATAAAATATTTTAAATAAACCCAATAACATTCAAGCTATTTTCTTAAAAAACTTCAAGACAGATTTCTGAAAAGTGAAGATGTAGAACAGTCCAGAAAATGAAGAAGAAAGACAGACAGAGAGAGATGAGGACAGGGGTTTAGAGAGCCAGGCAGATGGAAGGAAATCAGGAGATCACCTGTCTAAGATCACTGCTCCTGCTGACAGCCAGATGTGCACTGGAGTCACCAGCTCACCCTCATTTGTCTGAATCTTAGCACTTCATCCACATGAGCTCCTGGGAGCAGTCAGCCAAGATTATTGATAACCACATCTACCCAGGAACAGTGAGTCAAGAAGGATGGTCACCACATCTATCCAGGAGCAGACAGTCAGTCAGTCAGGATTAATTGTCACTACATCTACCCAAGAGAAGAGAGTCAGTCAGGATTGATGATCAACACAACTATCCTGGAGAGGACAGTCAAGACTGATGGTCACCACACTCCACTGATGTCTCCTTATTTCTAATATGCTGTTTCTTTTTATACCCATCAGTTCTGGGTTCTAATCTGCTATGAAATATATCATTCCATATACCCTTATATCAAACAACCTTTAAATGAACCCCACATACACAGGGATAGGAAATTACACAGAGATTGACACCTGGGACACTTTGGAATGGAGCTTTGTGGGCAACACTCAGGGAACTAGGCGGAGAGTACATCATTGTGAATAGAGCACCATCATACCTGTGGTGATATTGTGTTCCCAAAAATATTGTGCACCCTAATAAATTTATCTGGGGTCAGTGAACAGACATCCACTAGATAGAGAGGCTAGAAAATGATGGCACTCACGTCTTTAATCCTAGCATTCAGGAGACAGAAGCCCCCTGGATCTCTGTGAGTTCAAGGCCACATTGGAAACAGCCAGTCACGGTGACACAAGAAAGACATAAGAACAAACTAATCTTTTTTTTTTTACTTCTATCTGCATTTATTTTATGTGGAATTTATTCCCGTGCCATAAGTTTTTGTTTCTTCAGTTTCTTCTGGGATATCTTCTTCTTTGCGAAACCTCCTCTTCTGACTTTGGAACAAATTGTTTCTTTTCAGTGAGGATCATCTCGATGTGGCAGGGGGAGCTCATGTATGGGTTCATCCAGCCATGAGCTCTGTAAGTCCGTAGGCCCATCTTAGGTGCTTGTTCACTGGATGTATTCAATGACTAGAGAATCCACATCTAAACCCTTAAGTTCAGCATTACTCTCTGCATTCTTAAGCATGTGCAGCAAAAAACCTCTGGATTTGCATGATTTTGTAGGGTTTTCTGTGTCAAGCGAGTAGCGAACCATCTTCACGGGTCACCCAAGGCCACTTACAGGAAGAGGAAGTGCTCAAGAACAAACTAATCTTGACCGTCCCATCCAGGCAGGAGCTACCAAAGGACCAGATGGTGATGAGAGTTACAATGCGCTGAAGGGATGAACCCATGACTTATTGGAACAAGTTCAAGTAACCTATTCCCAAGTAAGCAATGAACACTTCCAAATGATTCAGAGCATTAGGTGAGAATTTCCTTCTTCAAAAACACAAATTAAATATGGAAATGGTACACAAAGAGGAAGAGTCTTTCTGATTGGCCCAAACCTTGAAGGCCAGTTGTATAAAAGGCCCTGACTGGAAGAACTTGCTACACTGTTGAAAACTCACCTGTGAACAGACTATCACCCTCCACACCTGATACCATGACCCTCTGTTGCTGCCCACCTTACTGTCAGCCTAGCTGCTGCAGCACCACCTGCTGCAAGACCACCTCTTGCTGTGAATCCAGCAGCTGCCCTGAGTCCATCTGCTGCCAGCCTTGCTGTCCCCCAATTTGCTGCTGCATACCATGCTGCCAGTCCAGCTGCTGCAACATCAAGTCTGTCAGCAACTGCTGTCAGCCCTGCTGCTCACCAGCCTGCTCTGAAAGCACGGGCTGCAAGACCACCTGTTGCAAGCCAACCTGTGTGAGCATCTGCTGCAGCACACCCTGCTGCCAGCCCTGCTACTGTGAGCCCAGCTGCTGCCAGCGCAGCTCCATAAAGATCAGTTGTCAACCAACCTGCTGTGAAACCAGTTGCTGCAAGAATACCTGTTGCAAAACAAATTGTGTGACCATTGGTTGCAGCCCAACCTGCTGCCCGGCCTGCTGCTGTGTGCCCACCTGTTGCCTGCCCTGCTGCTGTGTGCCCAGCTGCTGCCAGCCCAGCTCCATAAAGATCAACTGTCAACCAACTTGCTGTGAAACCACCTGCCGCAAGACCACCTCTTTTCAACCAACCTGTGTGAGTATCAGCTGCAGCACACCCTGCTGCCAGCCCTGCTGCTGCTGAACAGCTCCACTAAGGAACATCTGCACTGCCATGCTCTGGGGAGAGCTGATGAGACCGAGCTGCACAAAGCATCATCTCTACCTTTGCTGACCACCTTCATGTTCTCACCAGGAAACCTGACCAATGTAAATTCCTACTTATGTGTTGGAAATGCCTTGAGGAAGGATGGAGTCCCTCACCTTTACTTTCCTCTTATCCAAGATTATGGATCTTTTGCCCTCTTCATAGGGGCTCATGTGAAGGTCTGGAATCAGTTTAAGTTCTGAGCCAAGATCTTTAGATCTCTCACCAAATAACTTAACAAAACGCTTCCCTAACAATAACTCTATTTAACCACTTATCTTCTCAACTGGATTTTCTTCTGAATTTCCCCAGATTTTTGTGTACTGTTTTCTTCTTTCTGCTCACTTATGAGTTGTGTCCCTGGAAGCAAGCAATTTTAATAAACTCTGTGCTATCATCATTCCATATTGTCTATCATTTTATTTTGATAAATTACTTAATGAAAAATCCACAGAATCAATAGACTTTCAAATGCTCAACGTGGTGCCCTGCATTAGTAACACTAGCATGCTGGTGAACAGCCAATCAATGGAGAGTTTCCTAGCTGGAATAATTGAAAATTAACACCCAGTGGTTGCCGTCTTCCTAGTTCCTCCACCTCAGCTCCCATAAACCAAGGGTCTGTTCTCTCCTTTGCTCTCTGACTTTTATAAATATCATTTGGGTGGAATCATTTATAATGGTGACTTTATTGTCATATTTTCTTTATCACATCTTATCAGTTTACAATGGGATAGGTATAAACTTAGAAGTGTCAATATCCCTCTAGGATTTAGATTTCAACCATGTAATTTGCTAAAAAAAAAAAACAGGGGCATATGTGATTATCATGGTGAATAAAATAAACCAAATTGAAAAAGACAAATTATCAAGCAAGTGTTCTCACTTGGAAAACAAGATTTTACACAGGAATTTCAAATCTAATAGATTATCTGTAAGAAAAAGGGGAGGGCTGTGGAAGAACAAATATCATATAAGTACATGAGTGCATGATATGCTTAAGGGGACTTCATATATTCAAGTCACTACATTCAATAAATGGGGATGATTAAAAATAAAAAATGTAAATTATGAAATACTCCAATTTCAATGATCTTGAACAAATATCCTGAGATATGGCTACCAAGTCATAATGTCCCTTTACTTTTACTTTTTTTGAGGAGTCTTTGTAACGTTCTGCACACCTGCTTTTCATCACATTCTCATTGCTGTGTAAGAGTACCAGTTTCTGGGGCTAGAGAGATGGCTCAGCTCTTAAGAACACACACAGCTCTTGAGGGCACCTGGGCTCAGTTCCCACCTTCCACATAGCAGCTCACAACCACCTATTATTCGGGTGCCAAGACATCCAATGACCTCTTCTGGCATCCCTGGGCATGTGCTGTACATACATACATACATACAGGCAAAATACTTGTATACATAAAATGTAATAGATGTACATACATATGTGCAGTCAAAACAATCATGTAATATATATATATTATGATTATATATATATATATACCATTTTAAATTTTTTAAAGTTTGAAGAGGTCCAGTCCTCCACACACTTTTCAACACCTTTAGATTTCTTCTATTTCTGATACTAGATAGACAACATTCTAATACTGCAATTGTTATACACTCAAATAATATTCCAGTGCTTGGTGATATCTCACGCCATCAGGGAAAATAAAGGAGACAAGGAAGAAACCATGTCCCTCTGCTGTGCTGCGCTGGGAAAGCCCTGTCTCAGTGTAGCCCGCTGGCCTCTGGACTTCCATGCTTCATCATGCAACTATCTCTAGAGGAATGGCATTCCTTCCGATCACCTGCACCAGGGCCTGATCTCCTCATCTCTGAGTTACTCATTTCCACAAAATGGCTCTGTAACTACTTATGCTATTCTCTTTTTTTAAAAAACCAACCAGAATCTATTTATGTAGCCCTGGCTGTTCTGGAATTCGCTCTGTAAAGCACCCTGGGAGGAACTCACAGAGATCTGCCTACCTCTTCCTCCCAAATGCTTGTTGTAAAGGTGTGTGCTGCACACCTGGACACATATGTGCCTACAAGTTGTGCCCTCCACAAGGAATCTCAACTCTTGATTTCTGTCTTGAGCACCAGGATGTGTAGTTTTCATGATGAGTTCTCTGACTTAATGTAACTTTTGCTACCATTGAAAACTTTCTCAACCCCTGAAAAATGTTATTTCTGGAACCCAGAGTTAATGTTTCATACTTGTCATTTCTCTAGCCAGCCATGAAGACATCCAGATCCTTTGAAACAGGGTATGGTAGGAGGATGAGTAAAAATGCTCTAAAATACATTATGTTGACCTGAAGTCCACCCTGAGATTCATTTCCATCCTATGATACACCTCCCTAGTTAATTGCTGACTGACAGCATCATCTCCTGCCTGCTGCCTTCAGTCCACACTCAATCCATGTCATAGGAGAGTTAAAGGAATAGGAAGTTCGCCAACAGTGGATTACCACCCTGAATAGTTCAAGGATGATGTTCTTATTCATTATCTAAAGTCCTCCTCTGTCTCCCCTGATCGACCGGAGACTCTCTCATCCTTCATTTATATAAAAAGTTGTTTGACCTGTCACATCTCCCTTCCTGGACTCTGACCAAGAATGGGGGCCATGGCTCAGTGGTATCTCAG